TACTTCATTTAGCACTTGTGACATTCTGTGCTCTTTTGAAAGTTATTGTTTGCCTATTTTTCTTCCCCAGATTATACAATTTTTTACAAATATGTTTTTATTGATTTTAGAAAGGAAGGGAGAAGGAGAGAGAGACATATTCATTATGAGAGAGAATCATTGATCGGCTGCCTGCTGCATGCCCCCTACTGGGTATCGAGCCCACAACTCAGGCATGTGCCCTGACCAGGAAGTGAACCCAGACCTCCTGGTTCATAGGTGGACACTCAACCACTGAGCCACACCAGTCCGACCCAACAGTGTTTTCTTTTTAATCTATCAGTTTTAATAATTTTTAGAGAGAGGAAGGGAGATGGATAGAGAGATAGAAACATGGATGAGAGAGAAACATCGATCAGCTGCCTCCTGCACACCCCCTATTGGAAATCTAGCCCGCAACCCGGGCATGTGCCCTGACAGAATATACAGAAATACACAATTTCCTTGGAAGCATACATTTCTGGAGGGTGACCACGGATGGGGTATTATTATACTTTTACATTTTTTGGTTTCTTTTCATTCATTCGGTATATGCATGTGTGCATGTGTGTATTTGTGCCTATGAGTGTATGTGTGTCAAGCACCATTTCAGTTACTTTGGTTACATTAGTGAATAAAACAGACAAACATTTCTACCCGCCAGGAGCTCACATGGCAGTGGCTGCAGCTGGAAGCTGATAAATTCCGTGGAAAAGTTAAGCAAGAGTTGGGAGTGGTTTGCAATGATACATAGGGAGGTCAGGGCAGGCCTTGCTGTGAATCTGACACTAGTTTTGAGTTCTTGGAGGTTCCCATGTGCTATTTTTGAGAATGGGAGAAAGGGAAGAAGGGAGACCAGCGGGGAGGAGGGCAGTGGAGCTGCTGATGGGCAGGCAGCATGAGCATTGGTTTTGCGTAACGTGTCAAAACACAAACTAACATCGAAGAGTGAAGTTTTCCAGATGGCCTAGTTTTATTTTATTCAACTGTAGCAAAAATCTTAAGTGTTAGTACACACCCTGCCTTCTCCAGTGAAGTATGCCCAATAGGGTCCACCTGGTCTGTGACCTCTGGGGGAGGTCATGGCCCTGGCGTCACTGGATTATGGAGCTGTCAGGAAGCCAGGCCCCTCAGGGCGGGCAGGGAGGCTTGCAGCTATTTGCCTGCATAATGGCTGAGCCTGTGGGGATTGTGAGTTCCACCGAGCAGCCGCTACACCCATATGGCTATTTAAATTGAAATAGAAATTCATTAAAGGCAATGACATTAAAAATCCAGTTTCTGATCACATTAGTTTCATTTAAAGTTTTCAGCAGCCCTGTGTGTCCAACGGCTACCGAGTTATCACGGAGATAGAACATTGCCAACATGACATACAATTCTATTAGCATTTGTTCTTCTACATGTTGTCTTCTTGTACTGTTGCTATCCTCTTCCAAACCTCTCTTCCTTTTATTTGTTGTTTCTCATAGTTTATAGGCTTAAATACTAGTTTTCGCATTCTGTGTCGAGTAAGGGTCACCAGGCTCTAAGAGAGAGAAAAAGAGCGTTCTGAGTTTTCACACTTGGAACTTGTATTTCTGTGCTGACCGCCAAGGCCTTTTGTGCTTGGCTATTATTGTGCAGCTGTGTTCTGGTGGCAGGAGAATCAGACTTCGGAGTTGTTGAGGGAGAAGTGCTATCAAACTTTAAGGGTAAAATTGCACTTTTATGGAAAGGCTTTAGCTCCAGCCAAGGATCCCTTATTTGAAGCAGTGCCACTCAAGGAGGTATTTATTGACTAACTGCTACACACACACGAGCCACTGTGGTAGGCCCTGGAGATTCAAACAAAAATGAACATGGCCCCAAACCCTGAGGAGACCACGGTTTAAGTAGCCGAGAGAGTCTTAATAGGCAGAGTTTCACCGTCCAAGGCCCAGGTCTGCCCAGGACACGCTCAAAGTCCAGAGAAGGGTGGTGCATGAATCAGCCCTCCCTGGGGCTGGGAGGAAGGGCTGAGCCAAGAGGCCAGAGGCCAGGGAATGCTTCCTAAAGGAGTGATTTTTAAATGGCAACCTGAGGAAAAAATAGGTGTTTGTCACATGATGAATTAGAGAGAATGGGTTCAACATGACATGATGTACCATAGTGTGAACAAAGACACAGAAGTGAACTTGCATGGTGAGTGGGAATTTTAAGTGTACTATATTGATGGGCTTTGAAAGCAAAGGGATCCAGTGTCTGTAGAGATAGATAGTTTTTGGTATGTAAATGAAGAGGGGTAAGGTGGGGCAGAGGAGATAGTGAAGTGGCTGATCTACTTATTTAGCAGTTCCAATAGTTGAAGCTGGCAGCTCTGTTGACATGTAATGGAGGGACCTGAGCTGGAGGCTGGGGCAGCAATAGTGGTGGGTGACTGGTGGGAGAGATATTTATACCAGTTCAAAAGACAGATAATAAGGGCCTGATGTGAGGGTGTATAATGG